TCAGAGTCTTAGCCACTGGACTACCAGTGACTAAGAAGTCCCATGTTCACCTGGGAAATCCCATACTCACCTGCATTCTTATGTCACATACGGTGTGTTTACTGCTTGGAAGTAAACTTGAGTAATAGCGTCTTGACCCAGTTGCTTTTGCCCATGGTTTGGACTAGCTTACTCATGCCACCTCTTGTCCTACACATGCATACACATCACTTGTACATTCTAGAAGCTCTTGGAAAACCTTCAGAAGGAACCTGAACAGCCCATCTCTGTTAGTCATACACTGGATGTGTGCACTGTATTAAAGACCCTGCACTCATACTGGTGGGGTTTCTACAGAGCCCCTCACCTTACTCATCCTACCTCTAGAACCCAGGCCCCAAGCCACAGTAGCCCACACCCACTCATACAATCACATTTGTTTTTGGTGTTGTTTTTTTTTACAATTACATTTGTTGACTGAGCACTGACTTGTCCTGAGTGCAGACGTATTCAGGTGGAGGACAGCCCCTGTGCCTCCAAGAAGCTCCTAGTCTAATGGACGTTAAAGGACAGTAACAACCAGGGAGACAAGGACTATGAAAGCTGTCCAGGGAGCGGAGGGGCACCTACAGAACCTTGTGTCAAGGAAGCCTTCCTGGAGGAAGCAACATGTCACCTGCTTTCGTAAACAGAGTAAACCTGGCAAAAGAGCGTGGTGATTAGTGGAGCAAGGCATTCTGTTTGCCGGGTAATTCACAAAAAGACTAGGATGGGAGAAGTAAGGGAGGGAGGGGCGGGCCACAAGCAATGTACACACTTGACAAATGTGTCAGAGGAAGAGAACGAAGATGGGGGCAGAGCAGACATTTGCCAGAGGACTTGTTTCACAGGAATCTGGGGCTTTAATCCAAGGGCTTCAAAGCCTGTGGGTGGTCTGAGGACCACCCAGAACCCAAGATCTCAAGGAGTTAGATAAAAACATAAAAACCGGAAGGCTGGGCTCCACCCAAACCGACTGAATTCACAAGGTCTGGATCCCAGGAACCTGCATCATTTCACAAGCACCCCAAATGGCTGCAGTGCAGCATCTGGTTGGAAAACGCTCACCCAAAGCTCTTCTGTGTCTCCAGCGTCTCTCCAGAGCGACCCCTGGTGATAGGGGACTGGCTCTCAGGGGCTCCTAAAAGGCACAGGATGATTCACTTTCATGGCCGTGGACATGTTGACATAAACACTCCCCGTCAAACGGAGGGAGTTCTGGGAACCAATCAGAGGAGGATGCTGGGGGAGGAGGGAAGCAGGAGATGAGAAGGAATTTCTGGCAGGGGTGGGAGGAGGCAGGGACCTTTGGTTGGTTGTTTTTTTTGGTGGGGGAGGGGATCAGGTAGGAGATCCAGTTCAGGTACCTGCCAAACTCTCCCTAGGCCCCAACTCTCCCCAGGCCTCAAGGACAGGAGACAAAGAATCAAGGAATTAGATACTTTTTATTCCACAAACAGTAATCTCCACCTACCACACAGTGGTACACATATTTTAGCAAATCCTGTTACCCAGGCCGGTGCTGTCCAACAGAACTTTCTGCAGTGGTGGGAACATTTGTCCCCATAATGCCCAGTACAGTAGCCACTAATCACATGTGGCTACCGAGCACTTGAAATGTGGCGAGTACACCTGAGGAGATGCACTTTCAGTTTAAATTAATTTAAATTCAAACGCCATGTCTGACTCATGGCTACTGTCCTGAACAGTGCAGCTCTAAGTCTCGGGTATGCGGGGAGGGGAGATGCTTCAGGTTTGTCGGATGAGGCTGGCCAGCCACTTGGTCAGGCCACCTTTCTCGGCTCTTTGATATGGAAGGTGTGGGAGAATAGGTTGTAGGAAGAGCCATGGCACAAGACCACCACCATGCATGTGAGGCAGATGACGTTGTAGGCTATGCTGAAGTCCGGCGTGGGCAGGCTTACCAGCAGGGGCTCCAAATAGAGCCTCACGAAATAGCTCAAGCTGTGGGAGACTCAAGCTGGGCATCAGGAGGGGGCAGTAAGGCGGGACCAGCTGCTTCCCTTCATCTCAACCCACCCCACCCCATCCCCTCTCCCTGACCGCACAGGGCCAATCTCAGAGGTGAGGGTTTTCAAGGCTTTCTTAGCCTCAAAGCCTTTTAAAACTCAAGACAGAAGTCAGGAAGATCCCCTGGAGACAGAAATGGCAACCCACTCCAGTTGCCTGGAAAATTCCACGGACAGAGGAGCCTGGAGGGCTACAGTCCAGGGGTTTGCACTTCAGGGGTAAAGTCAACATGGTTCTCAAAAGTACTCAAACCTGCTTATTGCTTAAGACAGACACCATCATTCTATTTCACAAAGAAAGAATCTGTGACTCAGAGAGGTGAAGTGACTTGCCCAAGATCACACAACAACATAGCGAGTTACTGAAGCTAATCTGTCATTAATACCAAGTCATTTCATGATGCTGCTATAAACTAATAGCTATTAATGAAAATTATCATGTGTTTATAGTATTACTATTACTTCTATCAGCTCTGACAGTCATTAAATGGTTATTCTGCCAGGATGTGGACAAAGCATTTAACACATACAACTTTTTTATTCTCATCAGACATTATGAGATTGATAGAGAAAGAGAAAAGCAACCTCTGAGTGTCAAGACCTGAGCTGGTACCACAATGGTCCTATGTTCTTCTGCTCAACATAAATATTTTACAAAATTTCAATACCAGATGAGGCCATTCTGCGCTTGTGAAAGATCTAGACTAAAATAGGACTTTCGATTACCATATTTGAGCACTGACAAAAAGAGCTAAATTGCACAACGCACCAGTATGACCAAGCACCTTCCTATCTTGAATGATTGCTACTTCTTGATCAAGTACAGCTCTCACCTCTATCTAGTCTCCCCTCATAGAGTTAAAATCAAGATACCCATTTAGAGATCTGTCCCACTTCTTCACAGCCTTCATCCATGTAAAAAAGATATGATTTTTTTCCTATCAAAGGAGAATTTATAAGAAATAAAGAAGCGATTCATTCTTAGAATAGTTGAACAGAAAGGTATATAGCCTAAAATGGTGGCTAGTTGGCAATCCTTTGTTCTTTTCACTTCCTGATTCTCCTTCCTCACAAGAACGTTTTGGCGGGCTAATTCCGCAGGCTTTGTCCTGGACGTGTGCAAAGAACTAAAAGGGTGGGGGAAATAGTTACTATAAGTTGTCCAATCAAAAATTTAGGCAACATCGAGAAAGACTGTAACTCTGTGACTCTCAGCCTATGAGGAGTCGGAGGAGGGAACCTGTGTTTTAGGAATAAAAATTGAAGGGACTTCTGGCTCTGTGTGCTAGCTCCCAGACCTTCCTCTGTATCGTGCCCTTCTGTAGAAGTAAAGACTACCTTGCCGAGCCATTTTTGATTGTCTGTTCTATTCCTGCAACACAGTTTTGAGAGCATTTCCAACATCCAGAGCAAAGCCAAATTCCTGAAACCCTCCCCCAAATCACCTAACATAGCCCACATCCTGTAGGTTCTTTCTAACATTGTCTTAATGAGACAGCATATTGTTCCAAGATGATCCCTGTTCCTTGCTGCTGTGAGTAATAAACCCAACAGAGTTCAACTAGGAACGGGCGTTAAACTAGGAATGGGGTGTTTCTACTGGTCTCTGGCTAGAAATATTAGCAAGTAAGATTGTTGTCCTTATATCCTTATTTATAACTAAAGAAAAGAGAGCTCAGAGATGCTGAGAAATTTGCCCAAGACTACATGGGAGTAATAGCATCAGCACCATCTGTGTTCTTGTTTATTGCGATGCTGTGCCTACTGTGGTCTCCATGGCTCACTTTACTCATCTGTCATGAAACAGACACTCTGTTTTCCCAGAGTGCCTCAGTCCTACATCTTCTCTGACACAGAGAAGGAAAACATCATCAACGTGCCTCTACTTGAGTGTAGGAAGCTGCCATGTTAGGAAGCGAATGCAGCAGCTATGTGGCATCACTATGCCTCCATTTCCTCTCTTGAAGGACTCTTAGGATGGTTAATAGAATAATGCAGGCAAAACGCAGGCTAACGCAGAGCCTGGGGCACTAAAGGGTACTTGCTTTTCTTTAACTGAATTAAGAAGCCTCCCCTTCACAAGTCACCTCGGGGTATCGGATTCCTTAGAAAAGTGGACAAAATATCGGATTCCTTAGAAAAGTGGACAATAGAGCCCAGTAGGACAACTTGCCCCCAAATTTGGCTGAACTTAGAAGAAAGGAATAAAAGCTGTCATGTAGAGGTGTTTGTCTCCCAGATTTTGTGTAGCTTGGAGGGCCTACTGAGAGGTCGATGATGCTATAATGGATTTGCTTCCTATACCCAATAGTGCGCAGTCTGTGGACTGGGAAACAGGAGGTTCCCACTACTCTGCAGAACAGTGAGAAGGACCACCATTTCCATGGACTCTATTGGTTAAGGTTTGTAGTTGTAAACTCCAGTCAGTTTAATTTTAAATATGCATTTATTGAAATATAAGCCACAGTGGGTGAAGCCACAGAAAAGAAAATGCAGCAGCATTGTGGGGTCAAGGAGATTCTTTATCCCAAACTCTTCTTTCATGATTGATGCTGAAAACTGCAGGCTGGAAATTCCACGTTGGCCACGTACAAGGAGGGCAGTGATGGTGGGGAGGGGGTTGAAGGTGAGGATGCTGTGAGGAGGGGGGTTAAAACAAAAATCCTGTCATAAAACCGCTGGCTCTGTAGTTACTCTGGTCATGCGGGATGTGTTTCTGCATCCCTTCCTTCCTTCCTCAAATAATTATGAACTGTCTCCTTAGCCAGGAACTGTGCTAAGTGCTAGGGATAAAGGGAAGCCAACTGGATGAGACAGAATGAAGACATGTAGACCCATGGAGGAAAGGAAATGGACAGGTCTGGCTGATGAGGGTAGAGGAGAGAACTGCGAGGAGACTGAACAGTTTCAGAAGCAGCCAAAGCCCAGTCCTGCAGGGGTCCTCCTCAGACTTCAGGGCTCCTGGGGACCACTTTTTGCATGTTCTCTGCAAAAAAAAAAAACAGAGAGAGAGAAAAAGCGCTTGCTGAGTGCCAACATTGTAGGCGCAGTCATGGAAGCCTGTCATCTTGACAGATCCTATACTTTCCAAAAAATATGGAGCTATGATCCCATGACCCGAATCACAAACAAGATGGAAGTGAATTTTCCAAGCTTAGGTGGGGTGCTCTGGAGCACTACAGACCTGCCCTGAAGGGTGGCTGAGTCAGTGTTCCCAAATGAGAAAGGGGAGCGTGTGATCAGGCTGAGATGACCACAAAGAGGCATCTGGGGTTGACCTTCTGCCATTCTTTCCCTGGAGAACTCGCTCAGTGTGTGGTTTCACAGGACACTGCAGCCTCTCCTCCTGGCAGCAGCGAGGAGGACACTGTGCAGGGTGAATGGTGTGTGGCCCCCTGAGCTCCACCTCTTTCCCCAGCCCTTCCCCTCCTCTGGTGCCCTGCCCTCTGTCTTATCACAGGGACCCTGCCTCTTGACCGCAGGTCTTCATGCAGTCCTCTTCTGTTACAAAGTTGTTTTTGTTCCCTGCGACGCCACCATATGTAAACGGCTCACAGTGACCAGTCTCAGCATTGTAGAAGTACCTGGGCCTCGAGGCCTTGCTGTGACCTGTTAATTTAGGCTCCAGGCAGAAGGCAGGCTTAGAATCTGCTGGAATGAGAGGGGAATCATCAGTTATGAGGATGGTTATCACAGCTCTTTAAGAGGTCAACAACTAAAACCACCAGTTTGTTTGGAATAGAGAATGTTAGGGTTGTGGGGGTGGTCAAATTGAAGAGCCCATTTGAAAACCTCTTTCTGGAACATAATTATGACTGTTACTAAGCGTGACATGATACAGTTGTAGTTGTTCATTGACTCAGTTGTGTTGGACTCTTTGCGACCCCATGGACTGCAGCCAGGCTTCCCTGTCCTTCACTGTCTCCTGGATACAGTATTGATGTACAAATGTATACTTTCTCATGAAGTACCAAGCAAAATTGGGATAATGCCTTTGATTAGCCTTAAAACTTCTATAAGGCTTTCCTGGTGGTCCAATGGTTAAGAATCTGCCTTCCAAGAAAGGAATTCTGGGTTCAATCCATTGTCAGAAAACTAAACCCCAAATACTGTAGGCAGTAAGTTAGTATGCCATAACTACTGAACCTGGGGTCTGCAACTAACTCACCCCAATAAATACAGAAATGCTCAAAAAGAAACCCCACAACTCTACAACATAAACAGGTCACAGGTAAGAAATATTCCTTACATGTCAATAATTACTGGGTCTGGATGCCTGAGTTTTATAATACTATTAATATTCTCTGCACTTATGTGTATGGTTATTAATAAAATTTTAATAAAATCATTAATAAAATTAATCATTAATAAAAATTGTGACGGAATCGCGCTATAATAGAAAAAGGCATGAAGAAAACATACCTCTGTGTTTACTTTGGTTACCTCACAGGGATTCTATAAATTGAATGTTGATACTATTGATACTGTGATTGTAAGAAGAAATGTACGTATTTGTTTTTTCATCTTTTTCCTGACACTGTTCCTAAAAATCTTAGTATTTGTGATGTGATGAGAACAATAAAAGTGTCTTTTGGCATGTGAAGTTGATGAGTTTGGAAGACCCTCATGAGCCCAGAAAAGTGAAAAGTGAAAGTGAATTTGCTCAGCTGTTTCCAACTCTTTGCGACCCCATGGACTATAGCCTACCAGACTCCCCTATCCATGGGATTCTCCAAGCAGGAATGCTGGAGTGGGTTTCCGTGCCCTTCTCCAGGGGATCTTCCTGACCCAGGGATTGAACCCAGGTCTCCCACATTGGCAGGCGTGTTCTTTACCACTAACACCACCTGGGAAGTATTAATAATCATTATATGGCACCTAAATATACTTTCTTACTCAAAACAAGTAGGTAGAGAAATTGTTTCCAGATTAAACTTCTTGGTGGAAAATGCCCAAAATTCACCATGAAATGTGATTCAAATCTTTGTATTCATGACTGGTAATCTCTTCAAAAACCCATGTAACATGCATCCCTGTTCAGATGAGAAAATTGCAGATGTCTTGCCTCAGGACATGGCATGTGAGTGGCAGGGCCAGGACAAGATACTCTAGAATTACAACTCATTTGATACACTACCTGATTCTGCCAGGAAATCTGGAAAAATAGATAACTGAGAACAGTTTCTGGATGCAATGTCCTACTGTCATTGCTCCCCCTTTTTAGAGCATCTCTGAACCCCTGAATCACAAGGGAGAATGAGTCTGGGTTTTTCCCAGACAACAAATATATACTGTCCCTACAAACACAAACCAATTTCCCAAACACCCATTGGGTGTCCAGCTAGTCCATTTACTTCTGATTTGAAATTCGTGGAGTTACTGCAGATTCTGCAGGTTACGGGCTCAAGACTGTCCTCAGTTCAGATGCTAGCCATGAGGTCCCGAGTCACTCATGCTTGTGACCAAATGGCTAAAATCAGGGAATCCATGTCCCACCTTCAAATTCAACAACTAAATACAATCTGCAGCTAAACTTAGAAAAACCTTGCTTACTCTTCCCAGATTGATATACAAAATATAATTCAAGGCAGTAAAGTGGAGGAGATGTGTAGGATAAGTGGAGGTGGTGGTGTGCCCAGCCTCTGTCCCCTAGTGAGCAGGACACCCTTCCATTATCTTCCAGTATTCACCAACCCACAAGCTTCCTGACCCCAGCATTTATGTATTTCTTTCTAGATTTCACTAAACAGGCATAGTGGTCAGATAATTAGCCATTGGTGATTGCTGTCACTGTCAGTGACCTTTCCTCTCCCCAGAGGTGCAGAAACTACAAACCTTTATTCTCTTCTTTGAGCATTTGTGTTGGGAACACGTCTACTGTATGGTTCTCCAGTTGCCTTCCAGAAATCATCATCTGACCTATGAAAGAGCAAATTACAAGAGTTTCCAGGAGGCCTGGTCCATGAAACAGGGAAAGGATCAACATGGATAAGAAAATAACAGTCAAAAAAGGACAACGGAAAGGGCCTGGAGACTTTTGTAATATTGTACCAGCTTTGGTCCCACAGCCCACTACACAAGGGCTGTTTCTTGGTCTCCCTGAAGGTGCTTTCCTCTGTGGTTCCACATCTTTTAATTAGTTTTTAATAATAGAGGAATATCATTGCTTGATAAGTGAATATTTTTATTTGTCCAAAGCAAGTAGGTAGAGAAATGCTTTTCAGATCAACATATTGTGGTGGAAAATGGAAAAACCTGGCCATCAAAAGTGAGTAAACTTTGTATTCATGACTCGTCATCTGTTCAAAGAACTCATGTAACATGTTTTCCCTGTTCAGATGAGGAAACTGCAAATGACTTGCCCCAGCACACAAGCATGTGGGTGGACTCATCAGGACAAGACACTGTCAGGTCACAACCCATTTGATACGCTACTGATTTGCTAGGAACTTGAAAATAACAGATAACTGGTAAGAGTTTCTGGGAGTAGTTCCTACTTTTACTACTCACCTCTCCCCAAGCCTCATGTGAGCCGTCAAATCACAGGGGAGGGTGAGTCTGTTTTTTTCCTGACAAGAAATACATGATTTCTCCACAAACACCATCTGATTCCCAATACCCAGTGGGTGAACCACAGTCAGCTGACTTTTGGTACCGTATCTGTGGAGTTAGTGCTGATGCCACGGTTGAGGCATCAATATTGTCCTGACTTCAGATGTCAGCCATATGTTCTCGAGTCACTCATGCTCTTGACCAAGTTACTAAAAGTGGGAGTTTCCATGACCTCACCTCAATGCTCAATAACAATAGAACAGGCGAACGAACTCAGGAGGACTCTTACTGTTCTAAGGTTAATGTACGGGATATAACTCAGGAACCATGAAATGTAGGAGATGTTTAGGGCAAAGGAGGAGTGGAGGTGGGCAGAGCCTCCACAACCTGGTGAGCACAGCACCCTCACATCACCACCATTGGTTTCTACCTCATAAGCTCTCTGAGACTATGTTGATGAATTTTTGTTTTGTTTTTTGTTTATGTTATATATTTTTATTTTATTTATTTTTTAATATAAATTTATTTATTTTAATTGGAGGCTAATTACTTTACAGTATTGTATTGGTTTTGCCATACACTGACATGTGTCCTCCATGGGTATATTGAAGGATTTTTTATTTAGGTTTCACTAAATAGACATATTTATAAAATCATTAGCCAGTGGTGACCAATCTCAATCTCAGTGCCCTCCCTTATCCCCACAAGTAAAGAAAGTTCAAACCTTTACTCATTGTTTGAGCCAATCCTTTTATTTCATCGAATCCCATTCCTTTAAAAAGCTCAGCAACTATAAAAGACAAAAACTGCAACATTTTCAGGAGTCTTGGATCATGAACCAGGAAAGGATAAAACATGGATATAAAATGATAGTCAAAAGTGGACAAGGGAAAAGGCCTGGAGATTTTGCTAATATTGTATCAACCTTGGTCTCATGAACCAGTTATGCAAGGGCTATGTTTCATGCTCTCCCTGCAGTTACTCTGCTCAGCGGTCCCAGGTCTTTCTGATTAATTTTTATAATAGAGCGATAATCATTATTTGACACATAAATATACTTTCTGGTCCCAGGGAAGTAGGTTGAGGAATTTTTTCAAATGTATATATTGTGGTGGAAAATGACCAAATTGGCCATGGCATGCAAATAAACTCTTTATATTTATGTGTGGTAATATGGTCAAAGAATCCATCTAGCACATACCTGCTATTCAGATGAGGAAACTGTAGATGACTTGTCCCAGAACACACAGCATATGGGTGGCAGGGTTGGGACAAGAAATTTCCCTGTCTCAACTCATTTGATATACTACGCTATTCTGCCAGGAACTCTGAAAATATCAATAATTTGTGAGAGTTTCTGGGTGCAGTGTGCTATTTTCATTACTCCCCTTCCCAAGACTCTTACCAACTCCCAAAGCGCAGGGAGAGTGAGTCTGGGTTACCCTGACACCAAATATGTGGTATCTCCAGAAAGAAATCCAATACCCCAAACACCCACTAAGTGTACAACAAGTCAATTTACTTCTGATATGAACTGAAGGAGTTAGCACAGATTCTGCATGTTGAGGGCTCAAAGCTTTCCTCAGTCCAGATGACAGTGAAGTGGTAGTGATTTGATAAAGTATCTAAAACACAGAAGTTTCATTACCCCACTCCATGTTCAATAACTCAGTAAATCTGATGACCAAATTCAGGAAGACCACTCAAATACAGATCTCACATTATTATAAAGGATAAATCTAGGCACAGCAAAATGAGTGAGATGTGCAAGGCAAAGTGGAAGTGTAGGTGTGGGGAGTCTCCACACCTTAGAGAACACAGGGCCCTCAAATCACCAGTGTGTGTTGCCACCTGAAAATCTCTCTGAATGCCCATATTCATGGATTTGTATTGAGGTTTCACTAAACAGATATAGTGACTGAATCATTGGCCAGTGGTGACTGTTCTCAATCTCAGTGCCCTCTCCTCTCCCCAGAGGTTCAAAAAGTCCAAACCTGTAGCCACAGCATCGATGAAAATTGAAACCAAATCTATTAGTGAACGCTTCTCAAGTCTCCTTCTATGGCTTGTCTCCAGACCTATGGAAGACAGTAAATTCC